TCTGACACGTGGTACATCGATCGGGTCGAAACTGACTATCACGGGCCTGGCACGTGGTACATCGGCCGGGCCAAATGTAAACACTACGCGTCACACCTATGGTTTGTTGATGTGCCCCACGCAAGTCGTGTGTGATTGGTACAACTTAAGGCAGATTTGCCGAGTCGTGGAATCTTAAATCGTAAGAAAATTAATGGCTACAGAAGGTATACGTAGATGTCGCCATATTCGAATGGTCAAACCCTCTATAGAAATACGAGCAAACGAAATACAGTTCGTTAGAATAATTCGAGGAATGTCGATCTGCCGCCCATAAATAAAAGACATCGAGATATATATTAAAGTTTGTTTATCCAGCCCGGAATTTATGGCACCATGTACATGTACACAGACCCAGGAGTATAAATATTTCAAATTAAATTATGCGAAAGAAAATTCTATTCTAATTTTATCTGTGACGCGATAGTCCACCCATACTCGCATTGTGATCCAACTTTATCACGGAAAGCTATAGACCTGGTCATAACTCCCCAATAACGCCCAGTGCGATGTCAGTGGCGACTCTCGATCCACTGTAAATTCGTTTTCTATGCATGACCATGTGGAAATTCAAGCATCGTTAGATGTTCTAGCGGCATGTCAGCGACGTACCAAACGAGGTGCAAACGTTCAGATTCATCGTTACCATAACTTTGTAATCGGTCAGCACTGCAGACCGTGATGACGTACTCGCGCACACGCCCACGGAGTCGCGTTCCGATTGGTCCAGGACTGTAAAATCCGTGGTTTTCCTGCGTCGACATTTAGCTCGAATGTTTATGGTCGCACGTGTTCCGCCCTGGCTCGCGATCGCGCGTATTAATTATGAATTCAAATTAGGTAGCCGCGCATGCAAATGCTCGGCATATATAGGCGTGCTCGAACGGGGTGGCAGACGCCTACCAGTCGAGTCTGACGTTTAAGGGGGATAATGGCGTTTGCAGCCAAATAAGAAGCAATCGCGCGATTGCCACGGTAAGGAGTACCGATAAATGGTACTTCCATACCTAATGACCCGATGATAATTGATTTGGAGACAATAAACCGCGAAACCCGTGATTTACGTTCGGCTGGAGTTTGACACACAACGGTCACGTTCCAGCCCTACGATGACTAATGTTCCTTTTATAACAACGCGTAAAGAGGAATACAATGGCAGACAATTGCAGTGCGCCCGAGACGTGACAAGCTCCGTTTGATCTCATCAATAATTCATTCGACAAATAATTAACTCTCGATATGCCTACCCAGCCGATTTATGATACGTATGATCCGAGGAATTTCTGAAGTCTGACAAGTGAGTGGTCGGTAAACAGCTTGATCTGTCCGATAAATTTATTGTATCAACTATATAATACATATATGTAATTTATTAGCGGAGCAATGGTAAACAGAATTTAAAAAGAATAACAGAAAAATTTAATCGAGAGGCTAGTGTGCGCACGTATTCGTGAGAGGAGATTTCGATTGACGTAATTGAATGAGCGAAAATAATTGTTAATAGCGTATGAAAATGATAAAATTACTTGGAAATTTGTCGTAAAAATGGTAAACAAATATTTCAGAAACTTAAGCTATTATTTATAAATAATCTGTTTCAAATTTATGACACTGAAGCTATTTCAAAAATTACAAATATCGTTTATTCCTAGTTTTTACGATTCCTTCGTGTACTCTCGTAAAACAGTTTTAAATACTTCTTTTTCTATCGCGCTACAAATTTCACAAGTATTACCTCCTGACTTTCCAATACGTTCGATCGAGCTGTTTTCAACCATAAATATCAATCACCTCGGAAGCCTATAACATTGATTAAACAAATTAATTGCATCGAGCATTAAAAAGCCTACGTGCACTTTAAATCGGTTGTAAAATTAGTAACAAGAACTATTAGTCTCGATATAACGTGTCACTCCAACTTGCCTATGTCATATTACTAAATTACTAAATTAACTAATTATTACTAAATTAATTTCGCATATTCGCAAAACGTTTAATTTTCCGTATATAAACCGAATTAACTATTCGCGTACATACGTTTTCGCAAGTAAAATCGTTTTCCACGATACGAGCTGAAGAAACATCAACGTTTCGTCGAGACGGGAGGTTACATAACCTCGTTAAAAAGTTTCGTCCGTGTTACGAGAACTATTCGAGCGTTCGGAATGTCGATAACGTGGATCCAACGATTCGTGCCAGTGTCCAGTGAACGACGGAGATTACCAGGTCGAATATAGCTTCCTCGACGACACTCGGATAAAAATTTTAATTAACAGGTGGCTTTCACTCGGCCGGTGTCAATGCGACGCGACGCGGAACTTTCACCTGCGCATGCGCCGCTCTCCTACGCGACACTAGCGACCTCTAACCTTCTGGCGTCGCTGCATAATGCCGAGACATCCTAGCGGGTATCTGGAATCGCGGTATGGACAGTCGATACGTAAGAGCATTGTGCTCGATCGCGGGGAGAGACATCAGCTTTTGAAACGACGTGAAGTGTCCGTGATTGGACGTGCTTCGTGCCACCCATTCAACGTGAAATACGGCTCGTCATAAATATTCAAATATAACAGCTTGCGCTTCTATTATACGTCCGATAAATCTAACATATTTATATTGGCTCCTTAAAGTTAACCACACTGAGGCATCCCATTTTCAACTGCTGTAAAGGAAGCTGCACTTCTTTCTTTAGATACTGTTCGGCCGCGTTTTATCCTTGCTTCCTAACCTGTGCATAGATAGGCAGGTAATTCACGTGGAAAGTACGAGGAAATTTTCGTCCTTAAATCAATGAGCTGGATAAAGTGAAATAATAATGGAATGATAATAATAATTTTAAATCATTCGTTTTTAACCCTAACTGAATGTCACCAACAGGTGTTTTCATTACAACCTAGTTTGACAAATATATTAGTTTGATTAATGTAAAATACTTACAAAATCAAATTTATTGAAATTTATTATTTATTATTGTAATTCAAATTAGAAATTATTTAATATATTAATATAGAAATTTAGAAAGTAAATATTGTATATCGGTTAAATTTTTAAAAACAGATATACAATCGATTGAAAAATTATTCATAACCTTCTTTATAAATTCTACAGACCAGAAATATTTTTCAAAATATGCAGATTTTAAGGTGTCTATGAAAATTTGAAAATTTACATTTTCCCTTGAAAATTAATGGAACAAATTTAAATAAAAATTAAGATATTTATTTTCTTTTATTTTGTAATTTATGCAGTTGTAGTTTAAGGAAAGGAAAGAAATGATTTTTCATAATTAAAAATTGTGTCGTTACATCTTCTTAAATTATTTAAAAAATGAAAATCTGATATATCGGTTTACAGTATTTTTCGAAAAATCCATAAAGTGAATATTTCGACTCTAAGGTAATAATATCGTTAAACTAAGTAAAAGTTTGAATAAACCAGGCTCCCAAAATGGCAGTGACTGTTATGTAATAGATTTAAAATTACATAAAGCAAATATTTCTTCTATTTTAATTTGCAATGTTGTTGGGAAATTCTCACGTGTGACTAAAAAATTTAACAGCAAATTACATTGGAAGAAAGTAAAATAAATCACATTTAGAAAGTTTCCATTAACTTCTTTCCTGTTGAAATTAAATTTGTGTATTGCATACGTCTTTGCTTCGTGTATTGCTTTTAAGTATAGCTTAAATTAAAAATGGACGATAAATTGTGGTATAATGTTTCTGCAAGTTGCATTGCACGTTTTTACAAACATTTAGATTTTATATTGCTTCCTTATTATGTTACTAATGAGCAAAATTTTTCTAACTTCCTTTGATGATATTGTTTTGTGAACGTGCAACAAATTCAGGAAGTATACTTAATTGTACACACCGTACACGCAGGATAGTTCACCTGGTATTACCATTTTTATTTACGTCAATATCATTATCTAGGGAACAGAGAAAAATGGATTAAACTGAAGTTAACGTAAAAACGTTAAATACACTTAACATTAAGTAAGAGAGGGTAGGTCCTTTTTCTAACAATTTAGTTCTTCCCAGAAGAGCTTGACCATTAGGGACTAAAGACCACTGAGAACCACTAAGGCAACCTGAGATAGTTGCATTCGTAAAAATACACAATGATCCTGTTATAAAATAATATATGATCCCATTTAAAGAATGAAAGATCACCTTCAATTCCTCCAAGTGACCTTAGATTCAAAGTAACCTCAATCACTGAAATAAAAAATTAAAACGAAATAAATATTTCCACTTGAAAAAATTTGGATAATAGTATTTTTGTTTCTAACTTCGATAATTTAAAAATTTCAACGATATTTTCACTTGGAAAAATTTTGATAATAGTATTTTTGTTTCTAACTTCGATAATTTAAAAATTTCAACGATATTTTCGCTTGGAAAAATTTTGATAACAGTATTTTTGTTTTTAACTTCGATAATTTAAAAATTTCAACGATAATTCCACTTGGAAAAATTTTGATAATAGTATTTTTGTTTCTAACTTCGATAATTTAAAAATTTCAACGATATTTTCGCTTGGAAAAATTTTGATAACAGTATTTTTGTTTTTAACTTCGATAATTTAAAAATTTCAACGATAATAATGATAACAAATTTTAATAATTAAACTTTTAACGATAAAGATAAACAAATAAATATTAAAAATGAATAACGATATCTTATAAAATTGTAAAGCTTAAATAAAATTTTAGTTTAATTCACTTTGATAAAAAAATAATAATATTGAATAGAAAATAGGAAAACACGTAAAGGTAGTTGAGCAAGTTTTTAAGTTATATGAAAAACGGAAATGGGGCAATAAAATGATCGAAATTGAAATTTCACGCGTATATTTGAAACCAGGAAACTATGAATAAATTGTTCCTTTTGTTTGTGTCTAAAGTAACTACCAATACGGTGTAACAGGCAACGTTGCAGAAGTTGGAAAATTGCTGCAATAAGAGAGGAAGACAAAAACTTTAATGAAGCCTCTATAAAATGTAACGATATGAGATGTAGCACAATAAAACTTTCCCTGAAGACGGATAACGCTTTAATATAGCCAAGAAAATATCACATGAACATGCTCGCAGTTGAACCAGATGCATCAATCTCAATTCTTACATTCATCTTCGTGACCTTTTCAGAAACATCCCATGATTACCTGACTCGTCAGGCAAGATGAACTACATAGTCTTGCGCCTGAAGATTATCACCAAATATATCCAAGGGAATACATGAATATCTTCTACGAATAACACGTTTTTGTGTTGCAGCGTGTACACTCTGCATACAAATATAGAAGATCATATATATAAACCTTTATATTCGAAGAAATTAAAGAAAATTTAATTTTTAATTAAATTTTTAATTTTATATTGAATATTTTATTTAAATTAATATTATATAATTTATATCGAATGTTTAATTTCTTAATATATCTACTATTGGACAAATGTATTATCTGCACATTCGTTTGCACAAAATATAAAATTCATCATTGAAAAATACAAAATTCATATATTTATACCATAACTTTATTTTTAAACGGTAGAACTGTCGACG